TTATAAAACTATCTTTGGTATAAGATGTAAAGATACATGGAATACTGATAAATACACATTAATGCAGTGGGAATGATTATGTGGTAAATTATAGTATTCTTAACAAATGGTTTGAACATATATGTCTAAATATTTTGTTTAGTAGAATCTAGAAACTTTTTTAAAAAGCTGTTGTATATAGTCTAATACTTTTTCACTCATATTGTCTTACTGAGATTTGATCATGTTGCTACCTTGAGTTGAAATTTATTTATTTCACTTTTATATAATATTTAACTTTGTGACTATCTCACAGTTTATCCAGTCTTCATCAGTAACTTCTTTGGTCCATGTTTCTTAGAAATATGGGATCTGATCTCAGAGTAGTTGATTTCAAAGAAGCTAACTAGAGTCACTGAAAATGAAAAGTAGAGAAGGAAAGAAAGCAAATACAAGGTGGAATGTTTGTAAGCTGGCTATAATTTCTTAAGAAAATACAATATGTCTTTGTCAGGTAGAAAAATCTTCTAGGCAGACAACGTGGAACCACTAAATCTTATCTAGCCATCCAGGGAAAAGCAAGAAGAATTTACATTCTGGCCCCTGTTTGTCTCTCCTGGCTTTCATCTTTAGACTTCAGTTTTACATATTATAATCTACCCTGTAGTAGATTTCTGAATTCTGTTACCCATCTCCTCTGGGCACTGGTAGGGAAGTCAACTCCCACTTTCTGTGTTATACCATTTCACCTGAGCTCAACAATGGAGGGAAGAGCTAGAACTGCAGTAGTATAGGTAGATCAGACTTGGGCCTGTGACCTGTTTGTGCTCCCATTATGTGGGACACATCAGCCATGCCCAGACCCAGCTAGAAGAGGCTGAGACCTGGTAACAGTAGGAGACTAAGTGAAAGTAGCAGTATCCAGGGCATTTCATTGAAAAAGCACCCAAGGTCGAGAGGTCATGTGGGCTCAAGTGAATTGGCAAAGGCTCATAAAGTGGCGTAGTATAGTGGTAAGTTGAGCTATTTCCACTTTTTTGCTATTGTGAGTAATTCTGCTTGAAAGTGCTGCGGTGTATTCTGGTGAGCATTTGCTGCAAGAGTTTCATTGGCTGTTTATTTGAATTATATCATTTGATGTTTTATTACCAGAAGTATTGGGGGGTGGTTCTGGGGATTTAGACCCAGGGGGGGTACTTTATCAATGAACTATATTCCCAGCTCTTTTTATTTTTTACTTTGAGACAGTAACTCTCACTGAGTTGCTTAGGGCCTCATCAAGTTGCTGAGGCTGCCCTTGAACTTGTGATCCTCCTGTCACAGCCTCCTAAATTGCTGTGATTACAGGTGTATGCCACCATGCCCAGCCCTAATAGTAGTAGTTTTAAAACAACAACTCAAAAAAAAAAAAAACTTATTGTTTTCCATACTGCTATAAAGTTTTACATTCCACCAGCAAAAAGATTCTTTTGTTCTGCATCCTGTCCAATACTGCAAAGAGATTTTTGTTGGGATTTTTTTTTTTAAGTTAATGATAGGGAAAAGGAAATAATAGAATTCTAACTTAATCCTCTTACAGCTATGATTGCCTTTCTTTCCCCTATATGAAACACCTTTTTACCATCACTACCTACGCATGCACGTGTACACACACACACACTCCAGTTTTTAAATAGCTTTCTATCTCCACTAGGTTTCTCACTTTTATTTTTTAACATGGCTGTCAAATTTTCCTTTATGATTTCTCCAGAACCAATATTCTTTGTATGGAGCCAGCAATCTGTGCTGATTTACCCTCATGGCAGTATTCTCATTCTCTGTGGAATCCATTTTTAATGAAGCTTTTGTTCTTGTAATTACTCTGAAATTATGCACTTCTCAGTCCTCATCTTAATTGACTTACCTGGCATTTGCCACACCGTCCTTCTTCTCCAAATACTTTTTTCACTTTGCTTAGCAGTCACTCTCTAACTTGATAATTTCTCTTACCTTACTAGCCACACCTTACTCTCCTTTTTTGGTGCTTCCTCATATCCCTTACCTCCAAACATTGAAGTAATTCAGTACTCAGGCCTTGTATATTTTCTCTTGTTTATCAGTGCTCACTCCTAAGGCTCTGTTTTCTAAACTGTAAGTCAAAACTGGCAAATGGGCAATAAATGCTCAAATCCAAAATTTCAAGGTTATCTTTTTTCACACTGCACATTGAATCCCTTAGCAAGTCATGTCAGCTCTTAATTAGTTATCCAGTGCTGCTAAGAAAATTCAAAATGTAATAACTAAAATAACAAAAATAATGTATTTGCTTACAGTTCTGAAAATTGGGTAGGGCTTGGTAGGTCCAGCTTGTCCTTAATTCCCACTTGGTATTAACTGGGGTCGCTCACCTGAGCCAATCTACTTCCATATAGGCTCAAACATATTGTGGGCAAGTTAGTGTTTCTTCCTGTTGGGAGATCAGTTGGGGCTATTAGCGTTTAATTCCCTAGTGACTTCTTAAGTTTAGCTTGAGTTTCTTACAGGATGGTGGCCGGGTTCTTAAAAATGAGCTTTTCAAGAAAACAAGCTCTAGAGAATGGCGTTTATCAATCCTCTCTTTGCATCATGGTTATAGTATCTCTCTGGCTAAATCTAATTATGTGGCCCAGCAAGATTCAGTATAGGAAGAGATTTTTGTAAGAATACTAATATCAGGAAGTAGCTCCTCGCAGACTACTAACAATATACTACATTTATATATTTAAAAATTCAGGCAGTCCTCACTTTGCATAGCAGTATAGACCATTAGAATTATCATGCTGGTGAAACCTTGCAAACAGTTTTAATAATCACTGAATAAAATTGACAGTTCTTCTATGACATTTGAATTTTGAGGTCAAAGCATTAAAAATTCTATAGTCAATTATGAAGGTATAAATTAGAGAAAAGAAAAATACATTAAAACTAATATTTTAGTACACTATAATTTAAAACATAAATGTTGATACAACATTTAGTAAATCTTGTAAAATGTTGCAAAAGCATCAAAGACCAATGTAATCCTAAAGCAAGCAGAAGGAAGAAAATTTATTATAATAAATATTAGAACAGAAGTAAATGAAACAAGATATAGAAAAAACATAGACAAGATCAACGATACCAAAAGTTGGTTCTTTGAAAATATCAACAAATTGCCAAGCTTTTAGCTAGATTGTCCAAGAAAATAAAGAAGACTCTTAATTTCTAAAAGCAAGGATGAAAACAGGGGCATAAGAGAATGTACTATAAACAACTGGATAGCAATATCTTAGATAATTTAAATGAAATGGACAAATTACTGGAAAGAAAAACTACCACTTTTGTCCAGTGTTATACTAGAAATTCCAGTCAGGATAGCAGAAACAGGAAAGATAAAATATTTAGAATAGAAAGGAAGGCACTGAGGATGTAGCTTAGTGGTAGAGCACTTGCCTAGCATGCGTAAGTCATGGGTTTGATCCCTAGCCCTTGAGGGCGGGAGAATAGAAAGAAGATATAAAACTGTATTATTTGCAGATAACATAGGAAGTCCTAAAAAGATTAATAGAATTAATAAACAAGTTTATAGTGTCAGTACCTAAAAATCAGTTACATATCTATATAGAAGATAGCTGAATTGTCAGTAAATAATTGAAAATACAACTCAATTTGACTATTAACAATGGAAGTACAAATTAAATATAACTGATGTACAGAGCACACACATCATTTTATATTCAGTGTTGACAGAGGTATAAGTGAATGGACATTCCCACGTTCTGTAATAGTAAATGTAAATTTACTAAAGCCATTTAGGAGAAAAAATTTAAATATCAATCTGAGAATGATTTAATAAATTATGGTATAAACACACAATGGAGTACTGTGCAACAGTTTTGCTTTTTAAGGTAGTAATTCTGTGTCCCAATGTTGAGCAGTCTCTACTGTACTTATTATTAAAAATCCGGGGCTGTGGTTGTGGCTCAGCAATAGAGCCTTGCCTTACATGTGCAAGGCCCTGAGTTCGATCCTCAGAACCTTATAAAAATAAATAACTAAAATATTAAAAATCCATTTGCAGCGGGGCGGGGGTTGTAGCTCAGTGGTACAAATCTTGCCTCACACACATGAGGCACTGGGTTCCATCTTCAGTACCACATAAAAATAAATAAATAAAATAAAGGTATTATGTCCATCTACAACTAAGAAAATATTTTTAAAAATCCATTTACAGAGCATAAGTTGTAATATGGTCTCATTTGTTCAAAAAAGGAAAAAACTAAAATGTACCCCATACACATTATATTCATGAATGCCTAAGAGGAGGTTGAGGCTGGTGGAATAAAAAGACTAGTGGCTGAAATCAAGATTGGCTATTTCATTATATTTTGTGTATTTTCAAAATAACAGTGACCAAAATTTCTGACAGGAACAGCTTAGAGGAGGAAAAGTTTATTTTGGCTCACAGTTTCAGAGGTGTTCACTCCATGGTTGACCAACTCCATTATCCTGGGCCTGAGATGAGACAGAAAACCATGGCAGAGCTACTCTGCTTGTGGTGGCCAGAAAGAGAAAGTGAGAGAGAGAGAGATTAAGGGGCCACAGGAGTTTCCAAGGCATGCCCCCAGTGACCTACCTCCTCAAGCCACCCCCCACCTGCCTACAGTTACTACCCCGTTAGTGCATTCACACTAGGATGGACCAGTTAGTTTACAACTCTCATAATCTAATCATTTTACCTCTTAATATTCCTGCATTAGCACAAGTGCTTTTAAAGGACACCTCATATTCAAACTATAATAGTTATATAAAAAAACAACTTTGGGATGATATGGACAGTAAAGATGGGTATTTTCTTTCTATATAGCATACTTTGTTTTCCTTAAATCACTCCCAGTTTCCACTATATTTTCATGTAATTTTTTTTAACTAAAGCAATAGAAAATGCTTTTAAAAAATAAGTATCTCCTGGGATTTTCTTTTAGGTGAATAGCGTATGCTTAGAAGAAGTTACTCATGAAGAAGCAGTAACTGCCTTAAAGAACACATCTGATTTTGTTTTTTTGAAAGTGGCAAAACCAACAAGTATGTATATAAACGATGGCTATGCACCACCTGATATCACCAACTGTAAGTCTGTTTGCTTAAGCTTGCTAAACTTTTTTTAATTGATTTTATTTTTTTAAATACACGACAGCAGAATGCATTATAATTCTTATTACACATGAGGAGCACAATTTTTCATATCTTTGTATATAAAGTATGTTCACACCAATTCATGTTTTCATACATGTACTTTGTGTTTTCTTGTGATTTTTTTGCATTATAATTCTTATTACACATATATACCACATTTATCTTATTTCTTCAGATGAAGTGTTCTCAGTGTAATAACATTGAAACATTGTAGGGCTGGGGATATGGCTCAAGCGGTAGCACGCTCTCGGCGAGCGGCGCAGGGTTCGATCCTCAGCATCACATACAAATAAAGATGTTGTGTCTGCCGAAAACTAAAAAATAAATATTAAAAAATTCTCTCTCTCTCTCTCTCTCTCTCTCTTAAAAAATTATAAAATTTTAAAAGAACTCTTAATCATTTTAATCTAATAATTTTTTAAAAAATCTATTTTAAGTGAGAAACTTAATAATAAGAAGATGTAGTCCTTTTCCCCCTTTACTGCTTAATATTTAAAGCATTGATTCTGAGGCTTCTATGTAAATAACAATCACCAAAGGGAATTTGCAAATGATGCTGATTATTGTCCTGTTCTAATAGTTTTGGGCACGAGCACAGAAAGTTTATTAACAAGACTAACTCTGATGCTTCTTCCTGGAAAGATAGACTACAACTTCTATTCAATGTTTTATGGAAATTCTAGCCAAGGCAATTAAAAATAGAAAATAAAAGATAGTCAAAATAGAAAAGAAGGGATTGGGGATGTAGCTCAGTGGTTCATGGACTGCACTTTGAGAATCACTGCTTTTCAGTAGTTCCAGAAGTTAAGGGATTTCCTGTTCTCTCAGTACATTAGAAAGAAAGTACTATGGCCGGGCATGATAGCTCTGTAATCCCAGAGGCTTGGGAGACTGAAGCAGGAGGATCATAAAATTCAAAGCCAGCCTTAGCAAAAGTGAGGTGCTAAGCAACTCATTGAGACCCTGTCTCTAAATAAAATACAAAATAGGGCTGGGGATGTGGCTCAGTGATTGAGTGCCCCTCAGTTCAATCCCCAGTATAGATTTAAAAAAAAAAAAAAGTACTACATTTGTACTTTAAGCTTCTAGTGTATTGCCTATTGCATGCAGCCCAGTTGTGTTGCATACAGTCAAATTGTTATTAAAGTACTTATGTGCAAGTTTCTTCCCTGATTTTGAGTATTTTAAAATATATAAGCTGAGATGAGATTTAAATGTATTTTAATAGGATCGTGTTGACTGAAAAATGGAAGCATTATATGTTCTACACATTGAATTAATGTTAAAAGAACCCGTGAATAGTAAATATCTTAAATGTACTTTGTAATTTCCTTTTGTGTGTTCCCTTTTTTAGTTGTGATTTTTGTAAATGATAGTATTTTCACTTTTAAATGATTAAGATTTATTATCACCACTAATCATTGTAAAGTAAATACAAATTATATTATGAAATCTATTTACTGTCCCCCAATAAGTCATCTTTGTTATCTGCTCATTGATTTAATTACTCAAATATAACAAATTATTTTCTTAATAGAATTATCCTTTCTAATGGACAGTGATCTTGTACTTCTTTTATGTCAAAGGCAAGTCAAAGCATGCTAGTCAATTTGAATGCAACCCATTTGAAATTCTCACATACCCTTTGTCCTACACATGCACTTCATATAAGGACTTTATATATATATTTTTGTTATTAAAGATGCAGTAATTCTAGTAAGAATCTGATTCAAGTATCAGTCTTATTCTGAATATTGTCTCTTCAAGACAGCCACATGCACATTTGGGATAGTTGTTTCACAAATTGAGAAAGGAGTGCCCTAATTATGACCAAACATACAAATAGTCATACTCCTTCTTTAATTAATATGTTAAACAGAAAAAAAGTCATTTTATATTGAATTATCCTTTTATGTAAAATAGCATAACATTTAAAAATGGTAGAACTAGTTCTAAAGTATGATTAATGATTGGTTATCTGTCATAAGGGCAAAAGCTTGATATTTATTTCTTTGTTGTTGTTTCTATTATTAAATGAATAGAACATTATGAAAAAGTTTGCAGTTCACCTTGCTAGTTTATTATATTTTACTTTCACTTCCTCAGCAACTACAATTACGAATTTTATTGCATTCTTCCAGTCTGTTTTTTTTTTTGAGGGGGAGCGTTGTTTGTTTGCTTTTATTTTTCAGTTTTAGGCGGACACAATATCTTTATCTTTATATGGTGTTGAGGATTGAACCCAGCACCCCATGTCAGGCGAGCATGCTACCGCTTGAGCCACATCCCCAG